TATATATATATATATAATAATGTATATATGATTTTAAATTAAACTTTATGTTCATGAACAATTCTTATTTCAACATGATAAGTTAACAAGCCTAACACAAAAAAAAATAAAATAAAATACATGCCCCACAATCCTTATTTATTTACATACCTACACCTATTGTTTCATATTTATATGCAAAAACTCAATCCCACACAAAAATAAAAATAAAAAATCAATATTATTTACTTTCTAGATGTGAAATGCACATCTTTCATGTATACTTTTATAACAACAAAGTGTTCTAAATGCAAATATAAAAGTTTTAAATGTTAGATGTGCAAAAACTTGTGTGGTATGTATTTAAATCTTCTAAAAGTTGAACCGAACAACAGCATTTCAGCATTCTCAAGCTACAATCCTTTAAACCCAAACCCTAGTTTGAGCCCGGCACGCTCCTCACTGTTAGTTTCCATTTTTCCAACAAACTATGATGATTTGTAGAATCGCTTCGAGTCTGAACCAAATCTACTCGTCAACAACGAAAGAGAACTAATTTTCAAATAGCTAACTCAAGCAATAGAGATCTTACAGCGAAATGAACAGGAGACTGGTCGGAGATCGATCGACGGCCGACAGATCGCGCGGCGAGATGAGGGGGGTAGGGTGACGATCTGCGGCGTGCCGGCCGATTTGATTTGTGCCGGCGTGTCGGCCGAAATGTTTCGGCTGAAAGGGGGTTTAATAGCAGGAGCGAAGGTGGCGTTGTCGCTTTGCGTATCGGGGAGAGGGTAAGAGGAAGCGGTTTCGTTTCCGTATCGGGTTTCGGTTGCGGGAAAATATTTGTGTACGACATAGGCAGAGATGCTTATGCTGATAGGTTAAGGAGGTTATTCAAAGGTTGCAGGGTTGTATTCGGGATATAATCTTATGTAACTTTTTTGTAACTTTTTTTGTAACTTATCTGTGCCTGTAGAATTATAAAATAGGAAATTTATTTGTAGTTTTAGGTAGGTTACAGAGTTGTTATAGAAATGTATAACACGAATATAAATTTTCTGTACTCTCTGAGTAACCTCCGGAAGTACACAACTCTGCGTACGTCTTACGTAGGCAAATATTTTCCTTAAATGAACGGGTCGGGGTGTACCTAAAAACGTTCCAGAAAATTACAAGGATGTAATTTTCTTGTAAATTTCTTGTAACTTATCTGTGTTTGTAGAATTATAAAATAGGAAATTTATTTGTAGTTATAGGTAGGTTACAGAGATATTATAGAAATATATAACACAAATATAAATTCTCTGTACTCTCTGAGTAACCTCCGGACGTACGCAGCTCTGCGTACGTCTTACGTATGCAAATATTTTCCTTAAAGGAACGGGCCGGGGTGTACCTAAAAACGTTCCAGAAAATTACAAGTCATAATTACAAACAGAGCACAAAAAATATTACTATTTACAACTCAAATATTTAAGAGATTTTTTGAAATGTGACCTATTTACCTATTTCACAATCAAATTATTCTGAATTTAATAAAAATAAAAACAAAATATAAGTTGGGATTTTATCATGACCATTTGAGTTAGAATTATATCATCAAATTTAATAATATTGATTTAGAAAATATAAATTATATTTTATCATGTATATGTTCTAATGTAACGGAAACGCTTGTTGCGAAATTAGGGTAGAGGAGCGAGCGAGGGCAGCCGCCTAATAGTAAAATGAAAAAGGAGTTTTGTAAAAAGCTCCTGAAACGTGATATTCAAACAGAAGGTGACATTTTGAAAACGCCACTGCTGCAAATAAGCTGTCCCAAACGCAGCCTTAATTTTAAAGAACTATGTACATTAATATGGTTAGTTAAATGATTATGTAATTTTAATGAATGTTTGTGTGATAGACAATAATAACGATAAAATAATGTATCTGCAATATGCTTACAAGCAGCCACAAAACTCTTAAATATTCAGTATACACATGAACTGACTTTACTTTACATACATGAAATCAAATAGAAATTAGAAATCTCTTGCATTTATTTTACAAATAAGCTTCCATATGCATGAAATATGACAACCCTACCCATGCACGAGTGTGTGCATTTCTTTTTTTTTTTAAATTTAAAAATAGTGGTATTTTTTATGTTAGGTGAAATATCTGGAAGATATTATTGTAAAATGTATAAAGTTCATGTGGTTAAGTATGTAAATATATAAAAAGTTGGTGGTATTTTTGTCAATGCCATAAACTATTAATTAAACTCAAAAGTTCAAAAGTAGTGAATTGGATGGGACGGAGGGAGTAATATTTAATTAAACTCAGAAGTTCAAAAGTAGTGAATTGGATGGGACGGAGGGAGGGAAGAAGACCCCTAATGGAAGAAGCCGAGGCAGAAGCCATTGCTTCAGCAAGAACAATTAAACGCCCGAAAACCTCGGCTTCCTCTTCAGGCGATGAAAGCCGCCGGCGTGATAACCAGGAGGAGGGCACTTACATGGCCGCTCTCCGAGGTAGCCGCAGTTCCCTCTGGAAGCTTCAGCAGCAACAGCTTAATCTCCATAATAATGGCGGCGGTATCACCGCCCATGGTTCCGGCAGCAATAGCACCGCTCCTTCTTCCACAACGGCCGTCGGCTCATGCTTCAAATGCGGCATGACGGGGCATTGGGCGAGGGAATGTGGAGGGCACGATAGTTCTGTGGATCGAGCGGATAAGTTTGTAGCGGCAAAGCCTTGCCCCTGTGGGTCTGGAACTTGTCTTGTTTTAACCTCGAATACTGCTAAGAATCCCGGCCGTATGTTCTACAGGTGTCCTCTCAAAGAGGTAATGAGAAACGGTAAGGTGAAGCAATTTAGAGGATCAGGTAAGGGAAAGGAGAATTATCTTCATATTCTGATTCACCCCAAACCATATACATTACAGAGGATATATATAGGGTAATTGAGAATCTTCTAGAATAGCAGTATACTCATAACATAGAATCATTCGGTTGGGATATTAATGGTATGTTGCCTTGGGGACCAGTTGTAGTGGTGACAAGTCTAATACCCTCCTCCAAGCTGATGTTTCGTGGTAGGACTGTTTGGATCGAGTTTCGCAGAATTGACGTTTTGGAATTGCTTTTGTAAGAATATCTGTTGGTTGGTAGTGAGATGGAACGTGTTTCAATTTAATGTGATCCGGGAGAAAATGGTGATCAATCTCTATGTGTTTTGTTCGAGCATGAAATTTAGGATACTTGGTAAGTGAGATTGCGGAGAGGTTGTCACAGTAGAGATGTGTTGGTTGAGTTACCGGAATGCCAAATTCCTCAATAAGACGTCTAAGCCATACGATATCCGCGGTTTTCGTTGCCAAAGCCCTATCCTCAGCCTCCGTAGAGGATCGAGCAACTGTTGACCGTTTCTTTACCTACCAAGATATAAGGTTATTCCCAAAATAGGAACGCGTACTCGTAGTAGATCACCCGCCCAGTCGGCATCCGCAAATGAGGTAAGTAGAAAAGATACTGCTGCAATTCGTATGCCAAAATTGCTAGTGCCTTGTAAATAGCACAACAGATGAATGAGCTGGTTATAATTGTCATTGGAGAGCCCCTGTTAGTTTTCAGTACAGCTAAGGGTTGTGAAATGGTATGCTCTGTTTGGTCTGAGCTGGAGTGCAAATGGACATTGGAGTCGCCAATGGTTTGTTGTTTCTTATACCTGTCATGTACAGTAGTTGAAGTATGTATCTCTGTTGGCTAAGGAAGTAGGTGTTGGCAGATTGATATACTTCGATGCCAAGAAAACAGGTAGTTTTCCAAATTATTTGAGAGAAAATCATTCAGCCATGGCTTGGGTAAGTTTAGAAATGAAATTGGGATTGTTACCTGTAATCAAAAGATCATCAAAGTATATGATAACAAATACCGAAACCTTGTGTTGGTTGTAGATGATAAGCGATGGATCCGCTTTGCTGACTTGAAAGCCTCTTGATGTAAAGAATGCAGAGAAGGTTATGAATCATTGGCGGGGAGCCTGTTTTAACCCATATAGAGATTGTCAATGGAGGTATACATGCTTAGGGAATTGTTTATTATGAAAACCGGGAGGCTGTTTCATGTAGACCTAATTTGGGGAGAGATATTAGGCGAGATTAGGCGGGATTGGTTTGGGACAGGTACAATATCGAGATGGTTGGTAGATGGTGTTGAGTATGTCGTTGGTGTGAGTAGAAGAGATGAAATAGGAGCCTGTGAAGGCTGTTGGATAGGACTTGAATTGTTGGTGATGGAGTTGAATGGGAAGGTATGTTCATCAAAGACGACATGCCTTGATACAATGATTTTATTAGTGAGTGGATTAATTCATTTATATCTTTTATGTTGCAGAGAGTAACCGAGAAACATACATGGGATTGATCGTGGTTCAAATTTGTGTATAGTTTGAGTTTTTTTCTATGGATAACAAGCACAACCAAAAACTCTTAGATGAGAATAGGGTGGAGGAGATTGATGTAGATGTTCATATGGGGAGATGTAATTTGTGGCTCTTGTAGGCATCCTATTCATGAGATGAATTGACGCAAGGAGGCCGTCAATTCAAAATTTGTAGGGTAGATGGGCTTCATGGAGAAGTGCTCGAGTGGTTTCACTGATATGTCGATTCCTTTCCACAACACAATTTTGCTCCGGTGTATAGGGATAGAAATATCAGTGTGGTATGTCATTGTCATTGAGAAAGTTATTTAAATTGGTATTATTGTATTCTCTTCTGCCATCCGTTCAAAGGATTTTGATTTTCTTATCAAATTGATGAAGTATGGATTTAATAAACCATATTGTTATGTTGATTACATCAGATTTTTTATGCATAGGAAAAGCCCAATAGAATCGAGAGAAATCATCAATGAAGGTAATATAATATTTGTAACCATGATAAGAGACAATTGGGGAAGAGCCCCATACATCACTATAAAGAAGTTCAGGTACGTTATATTTTTTATCTAAGCTAGATACAAAAGGTTGTCTGTGACTTTTAGTAAGGTTGGAAGTGTGACAGGAAGATGTGCTGGAGGGGATGCAAAGGGCTTATCGCTTGGAGATGGCCTTGATTATGTCAGGATATAGATGCCCCAAGCTTTGATGCCATAGAGTAGCTTGTTGTGATGTAGAAAGAGAGGTGGTAAAGTATTGGGTGTTGGAGTAGATTGTAATCCTTTATTGTTGGGACCCTTGAGTATGTTCTGTTGAGTCTGGGAATAAAAAATGATAAATAGAGAAGGATCAAAGGAAATAACAACATTATTATCTTTTGTTAGTTTGTGGATAGATAACAGATTATGAGAGAGTAGAAGAGTGATAATTTTGAGAAAGTTTGAGCTTACGAGTTGGGGTAGGAAGGTGACCATCACCTTTATGTTGGTTTTGAGCAGCTTGGTCATTCCTTACGATGACTTGCTCCATTCCATTGTATGGTGCAGCAAGATGTAGCTGATTGATGTCAAAAGTGAAGTGGTCAGCTGCACCAGAATCCAAGATCCATTCCTTGGACATATTGTTGAGAGCTTGCGGTGAGTTGGAAGGTGTATACTCTAGGTTTGTTATGTGCCAACAAATGAAAGTTGAATGGCCATTTTTGTTACATATTTGGCAAGTAACATTTGATCTATTCGATGTTCTTCCTCCCCTTGATTGTATTTGGTTGCCTTTTCCTTCTCTAGAATTCATTTATTGTTTTCTTCCCCTTGCCCGGGAGAAGTGATTTTTGCGGCCTTTGATGGAGTTGAGAGCAAGAGTTGTCTCAATTGATGAAATCCGTTTAGCATTGTCTGAATTAATGTTGATCTCTTCCCTACATGGTAACGAGTAGAGATCGTCTAGCGCAATGGGTTGTAGGCGTGCCTGAATGGCGGTTTTAAATGCATTGCTCTTGACCATTCAAGATGTATAGAGTTACATCTTCCTGATCTAATTTGGATCTTGTTGCATTAATGTGATCAACGTACGAACCTCAGTTAAGTACCGTGCCATTGATTTATCTTTCATAGCAAGATGGTGTAATTTGTCCTTCAACTGTATCACTCTGGACTGGTTTGTAGGTTGCAATTTATGTTCCAACGTTGTCCAAATCTCTGTTGGTGTTTGAAGCTAAATTACATTAGGGAGAATAGTAGAAGATATGGCTGAGTAGAGGGACGCCGCAAGATTTTGATCAATAAGAATCCACTCCTGAAATTGTGGATTCTCGTTTCCATTTAGGATGACATTGTGAGGGACACTGCTTGCTGTCATCTAAGAAGCCGGCGAAGCCATTAATCGTGAGTATTTTTAGTATTTGTGCACGCTGTACATGGTAGTTCTCAGGTGTGAGGAGATATTGAGAAAATTGTTTCAAGAGGGAGGTAAGAACTTTGAGTGATGGTGGTATTTGTATGAATTGGGTAGACATAAGGGGATTTGGTGTTCTGATATTGTGGAATCCTCCATTTTCCTTGATGTATGTAGATATTGGACTACAAACTCTAATGAGATGGGTGAGAGATTAAATCATCCAAGCGCAGTACTTACTTGCAGGCATAACACTTCCTGGAGAATGCTTGGAATTGTGAGCGCTTGATGTCGAGCAGATTAATTCATCCACACGAGACTTGAATGGATTGATGCTCTGATACCATGAGAAACAGGAAGGTGAAGCAATACAAAAATCAGAGAATTACAGTAAGGGAAAGGAGAATTATCTTCACATTATGATTCACCCCAAACCATATATATTACAAATGATATATATAGGGTAATTGAGAATCTTCTAGAATAGTTGAATACTCATAACTTAGTATCATTCGGTTGGGATATGGTATGTTGCCTTGGGGACCACTTGTAGTGGTGACAGGTCTAATAGGTAATGTTCGTGGGGCGCACGAGTTTTGATTGTTTATTTGAGGAGGTACTAGTTTATTGTTTTGCGCACAAGTTGTATGACAATTTTCCCCTAAGAAATAGCTTTAGTATTATGGGGTATGGAGATGGGTGGTACACTGTTTGATGATTTGGCATAAGAAATCTCTTTTTCTTCAATATTCAAGACAAATAGAAAGGTTGACTGATAATTTTTGTTCTGTAGTTCTGGAACAATCACCTGAAATTCCTGTTTAGTATATTCCTTGTTTTTAAATTTTTGATAATAGTCTAACATACATTGATTGTTCATGTTCGTCCAAGTTTTTTCTTTGTTGGTTTACTTCTGATGATTGACATTGCCTTTTAGGTTCAAGTGTTTTAGTCACATTTAGGGTTGTTAATGTCCCGTCGACTTGAATAGATTTAGTTTAATTTGAAATTAGCTTGTGGCTCATTATATTCGATTTTGAGTTGACCATGCTCGAAACTGATTCGAGCTCGATCCGGCTCGAAATCGAAACAAGCTGGTTTAAATTGAGTTATTTGGATTCGTTTCAACTTGGTGTTGGCTCGATTCGACTGAAAATTGGAACTAACTGGCTCAAATTGAGTTATTTGGATTTACTCCAGCTCAAAATAGGCTCAAAATTGACTCGCTACATTCAATTTTACTTAGCATTATATATATATATATATTATAAATAAAAAATACTACATGCCGATTTCGAGTGAGTTCTAGTGGATCCGAGCTGATTTAGAGTTCGTCGAGCTTATTCATGTATGGCTCAAAATCAGCTAAAAAAAAATTTGATCAAAAGTTTCCAACTCATAGTTTGGCTCAATTATTTCAATCCTATCTCGATTTGAGCCAAAATTCGAATCAATTGTAGAGCAATTAGCAATCTTCGAGCTAAATTCACAGCCCTAGTCACATTTGCTCCCTTTCTCATACTTTTTCTTTTTGTTTAATTTATTTGAGCTATGGTTCTTAATTTCCCCTAAAAAAATTCTCATAACATTTGCTCAAGAAACGAGTATGGCAAAAATAAGGTGGTCATAGCAACTTCTTGACCCTCGTGCTAAGTTGTTTTTGTTGTTTGTGTGCTCTCAAGTCTAAATCTAAATAAAGTTAACATTTATTTATTTTAACGATATATATATATATATATATTAATAAAAGAGTAACTCGTGGCTCCTTATACGTTAATACTAAAAAATGTTACAAATTTAAGGGAGGGATAGTGGATCCCCAGCTAAGAAACAAAAAATACATTATAAACCTAGGGGTTCCAAAATCCACAGTACAATGCCACACAAAAAAAGTAAGCAAAAAACAAAAAGTTACAATTGACCCAAAATAGATATGTGTCGAGCATTAGTAAGAAGCCTTAAGATTCGAAGATCATCCAATTTAGTAAACCAAGAACGACAAAGATGCTCCCGATAGAGCTTTATAAATGAAACTTGCCAACCAAAGCTCCCCGAAGCAGCTAATGTATTGTATCTTGCGGAAAAGTTAGTCCAATAACACAGAGAAAAGAAACAGTAAATATCTTTCCTTGCAAAACGTGCCAAAGTGAAACAAGAGAAGACAGGTAATGATAAAGTCTCCTCCATAAGCAGATATATATAAACCTCCTAGCCGAAAAATGTGCTTCATTCCAGCAGGGAGAAATGTCACGCCAGTAATATAAGGCATGGAGTAAAAACTCCATAATAAAAAACCGTAATTGATGTTGATGAAGGTCCTCGCAAGGCAACAAACACAATTAATCAAAATAGGCAAGAAATTAAGGTACGAAGCCAAGGGTTTCCTCTCAAAACTAACAGTGGGGCCAACCAGGTAAACTAAAAAACCCAGCAATTCACAAAAATACCACCCGGCTAAGCCACGCAAAGAAATATAGTAATAAGATACATCAATTTCCAAAAAATGGCTAAAACCACCCAATTAAAATTACTGCAGAGGCAATGTATTCTAACACCGCATAAAGTGTTTACCGAACAAACACCAAGAGGTGTTTATTGAGTTTATAGATTAATGTATGTATGTATGTATGTATTCATGTATGCATGTCTTTATGTATTTTAGAATATGTTGATTTTATCTTCATTTATTTAGTATGTGAAAATTGATTGTCATTTTTGAGGGTTGTTGAAGGTGTTTATTGAGTTTATAATTCATATCGATTTTAACTACAACTAACGAAATGATGTAAATTTTGCACTTATAAAACATAATTTCAATTGAAAAATTTACATGCATCCACTTATTTACATATTTAACTTGTAAGCAAAAGAAAATATTAACAAAACAATCTATTTGGTCGTGCCAAGACCAACTCATTCAGAATTTAATGAAAATGAAAAAAAAAAAACCATTTTATAGTTTTATTGTGATTTTCAAGTTTTTTTGTATATTATTGTAAATAGAGGTAGTTTGGTGTTAGTTTTGTAAATAGCCAAAATTTGTTTGTTGCGCAAGAAATTGACCCCTTTTACTTCCAGACAACTAAAAAAAATACTAATATGGATGATGGATTTTCATTTCGAGCTTTAAAATGCATATTGTAATTAATGTTTATAATATTGGCACCCATTTGTTCTGGTTGAGTTCTTTAAATTGGCTATTGTTTAACTTATTAACTTTTGAGATTGTTTGCATATTTATCCAGGAGAATGGAGGCTGCAATTTCTTTGAGTGGTGTGATGGTCCATGTTCTAAAATTGCTTTTGACGGTCAATCCAATGCGCAAGTTCCTGTAGTTTTTTGCCCCTGTGGTGCTGGTTCATGCCTAGTTTTTGTTTCAAAGAGTGGAAAGAATGAGGGACAGCAATACTACAAATGTCCAGCGGTGGGGTATATTAATAAAACATCCAATTTCTTTTTGGAAGATTTACACACATAGCCACACAATTCTTATGTATTTACATATCTAACAGCCAAACTTCAATTTTTACTTGCATGCCTCCTTACCTATGCATAGAAAGGTGTATTTCATTTTTTAATGTTAAAATGATGGTATTTTTATGTGATATGAAAGATTAATGTTAAAATGATGGTCTTTTTATGTGATATGAAAGATTTGGTCGGTACAAATGTAAAAAGTGAAGTTTTAGTGTTAGATATGTAAATACATGGGAAATTAGAATTTTAAATGCCCCATTCTTTTTTCATCTGTGAAATAGTATATTGGGTGGTTTTTATGTAAATGCCCCATTCTTTTTTCATCTGTGAAATAGTACTCAATCCATCTTAAACTAAATTTAAGATACTAATTCTCTTTGCATGAGAAATTTTGCTCAAGTTACATCTTATTTCAATTGATTCCTCCGGCATTACTGCTTGTTTTCTGATTAAATTACAACAAGAGGTTCTATATCTTACTGTATTCCCTTAATTGTAACAAATCATAGGTGAACTCAGCTGTTAATGAATCGTTTGGACTGCTTTAATATGTTAAATAGATACAATGAAATTAAAAGATACAACTCTTAATAAATCTTAGGAAGATTTACATACATGGCACTCAATTCCTATATATTTACATATCTAACAACTAAACTACAATTTTTTCATACATACCACCTTACCTATGCATGAGAAGTTGTATTTAACCTTTTAAAAATTACCATGGTGGTATTTTTGACGTGATGTGAAAGATTTGGGCTGTATTGATGTAAAAAACAAAGGTTAGATATTGTGTAAATACTTAGGGATTGAGTGGCATGGTTGTAAATGCCATATCTAGACATTTTTAATTGCAATTTTACTCAACAAACCACCCCTCTGATCGAGTTAAAATTAATTCATGCAAACCGAATTTGGTTAGTTAAGTTTCGTTTCTAGAATTCAACGTTTCTTTTTTATTGTTTTCTTCTTACTGAAGTAACCAAATGACTTAAAGATCATTCGACTTGTTTTTCCTTTGCCTCTTGTTAACTTGTTAGCTGGCTGACAATTTTAGGAAAAGGGCCTTACTTTTTGAAGAAGCACTAACAATTCATGAATACAATGAGCCACATGAAAATCACCCAAAACTTCAAACACATGAGTAGCCAACATCATTTATGTGATTCAGTTTAAATTAAAGCTTATATTCACAAGAAAGGAGGGAGAGAATGTTAGAATTTCCAGTTGTAGTTTTTATTATTTTTTACCACTATTCCATACACTATATTTAATTATGTTTTCGATATTTTCAACTATTAACGCATGTATATTTATTATTACTATTGTTACTCATTTTAGTCACCAATCAACGTGCGCATTGCTCATTTTTTAAATGTTCAATTTTATTTTAGCATTATTTATTTCGTTGAGCTTGTAATTTATCATATATTATATCATTGGCATTTTAGAGAGGGGGTAAGGAGCACTATATGGACCATTAACTAGGTGGCATGCCCTTTTGTAAAATTTTGATTATAGAGTTTTGAGTGATTATAAAATTCTTTTGGGGCATTTATGATTTTATTTTTAAAGTATTAGTAGAAGCTCTAGAGTTTATTTGAGGATTGTGTTGCTGAGATGAGAGTGCTCGGGTGGATGATTGGTTTTACACTTAGGGACAAAATGCAAAGTGAATATATCCATGAAAAAGTTGGCATGCTCTAGTGGCAGGCAAGATTAGAGAGAGTCACCTTAGATGGTTTGGTCACATCAACGTCCACCATCTGATAACCCTTTTAGGAGAATAGATATTTTAGATTTGACTTATATTAAGAAAGGTAGAAGTAGACCTAAAAAGACTTGGGCATTTTGTATAAAAATGATCTTTATTTATTAGAATTAAATTAAAATATGAAACTCAATAGGGCACAATGGACAAACAAGATTAATGCAATTGACCCCACTTAGTGGGATAAAAGTTTTTTGTTCAAACAAGATTAATGTAATTGACCCCACTTAGTGGGATAAAAGTTTTTTGTTGTTGTTGTTGTATTTCAGCCACTTATCTCCGCGCCGACCCCACCTAGTCAACCTCCACCACCCATGGATCGAGCCCTAGTGTGAGTTTGTGTCGCATTTGTTGTAAATTCTCTTTCAAATTTGTTTGATTGTAACGACATATTTATTTTCAGTAATAATATTTGAGTTTCTATTATTGTTTGGGTTAACTTTGATCATTTACTACTTGAAGTTTGATACTTATACAACAAGTTTTTAGCATCAAATAAAAAAATTAACATAATATTAATTTTTTAAAGTAAAATAAGCATTTTTATTCATATGTTTTGTTGTGACATGTTGGACATGTAAATACACAAAACTTGTATGATATGCATGTAAATCCCCTACAAAATATTCATGCATCATCTTATATTGTTTTTGTCTAGCATATCACACACCTAAACTTTCATATTTACATGCATAGCACTTTGGTGTTTTAAATCTTTGCACGAAAATGTGTATTTCGCTTTTAAAATGTGATAAGTGCTATTTTTTATGTGATATTAAAGATTTCAGCATTTTGCGTGTAAATATGAAAGTTTAGCTGCGAGATATGTAAATATATAAGAATGGTTTGGTATGTATCTGTTGAATCCTAAATTATCCTATGTGAACACGTCCCGAGAATTTAGGATCGAGTGAAGGAAGGAAGAGCGAAAGAGAGTATAGCAAGTCATGAGTTTCCTGTAGAGAGACTCGGAAGCCCTTCTTTTATTCGTATTTTTGCTTCCTATTTATAGGAGTGTATTTGGTACAATTACAGAAAAGATGGTGTGTTATGGAAACCACTTTTAATACAATTGATGCTCTAATTGATCGTATGAATTTCATATCATATCTGTATTACAATTTGAATTTTAACATGGTGGTAATTGGTTGGACAACCTGCTTGAATTCGGCCGACTGAGGCGACTCGCTAAGTGGCGACTGTGTCTTCTGAAGTACATGCCGGTCGGCCAAGATGCCAGTAGGATGTCGATCTCGTCCGCCGCGGTAAAGGAGGGTCGACCGATTTGCTGCGATCAAGGATTTTTGCCTGTGCCCTGGTCGGGACTGTCAACGTGGTTTGTCATTCGAATCTCTTGCCATAGTGTGTCAATCGATTCTTGATCACGCGGTTGGCAATAGGACGGTAGGACGCCTTATTGTCTGGTCGTCGTCTAGGCCATTCAAATGCTTTGAGATTCGTGATAACAGTTGTGGTGTATATTGTATGTACATGCCCCTTTTTTTCTATTATATTTGTATGATGATTGCTTCTCTTTGTCATCATTTCAGGGAAGAGGCTCTTGTGGTTTCTTCAAATGGTGCAATGAGCAGGGCTCTATTTCAAGCCAATCTGTTGATAAAAATAGCTCCTCCTGCTTCAAATGTGGGCAAGAAGGCCACTGGGCTAAGGACTGCCAGAATCAATCCTCAAATTCATTCATCAGTGGAGGCAAAAATCAGCCTTCTTCCTGCTTCAAATGTGGCAAAACTGGACACTGGGCAAGGGACTGCCCTGCCCAGAATTTTGCTGCTGCTGCTGCTGCTACTGCTTCTAAAAGGTACTTCAATTCTTCTCAAAGCTCCTAACTTAGATTTATAAAGTGTTATTAGGTCTGAATTTGGTTTGAAAGATTTTATAAATTTCTTCAAGTTCATAGTTTTTTTCATGTAAAAATCATTACTCTTCTGGAATGTGGTTATTGTTACTGGTTTTGTGACTCGGGGTTGTTTGAAATCATTTTTATTTTGGAAGATTTACATACATGCCACTTTATTCCTTTGTTTTTATATTTCTAGCACCAACTTTTTTACATATATGCCACCTTTCCTACACATGAAACAATGTATTTCACTTTTTAAATGTTAAAATAATTGTATTTTTGATGTGGTATGAAAGACTTAAGTGTTATGAATATAAAGAGTAAAATTTAGGTGATAGACATGTAAATACATAGAAATTGGGTGGTATGTATGTAAATTCCATCCCTATTTTATATTTTTGTTGTATATTTCAAAATATGTCTTTATTTTTTTATTTTAAAAATAAATTAAATTGTTTTTGAAAATTACTCGATATATATTTTTACGGGCTTCGAGTGTTTTTAAAAATAATTTTCACCATCAAATGTGTTTTATTTCAACGTAAAATGTAGCCAAAATAAAATTGATTTTTATTTTTTTTTATGTTTCTTGCTTCATTCACCCCACTTGGATTTCATTCTGGGGCATTTACATATATAAAATTGCGCATATATATATATATATATATATACACGAATATATTAATAAAATAAAAGGTACGGATAGACTGCCCTCATGTGCCTAATCACTCGATCCAGTAGTGCAAGGCAGATGCACTCAGACGGGATCAAACTCATAATCTCAGGATACTTGCGCTGGGCTACACTATGAAAGACTCAATGTGAGCGGTATATAACATCTAAACTTTTCTATTATTTATACCACCCAAATCTTTTTTATCACGAGAAAAAAAAAAAAAACATCATTCTAACTTTTAAAAAGTGAAGTACACTTTCATGCATTAGATGGTATGTTTGTAAAAAAATAAAGTTTAGGTGTTAGAAATGTAAATATGTATGGATTGAGTGGTATGTATGTAAATCTTCCTGTAATTTCACATGTGATTGGTTAGGTGAACTTTCCCGCATTAAATCAAAATGATTATGTTTTGGATGTACATGCGAAAGCACCATTTTATCAAATGTTCAAGCTGCCTTTTGGATTTTGATTGCCATTATTGACTATATTTATAACCATTAATTAAAATTAATAAATGCTAATTAATTCTTAGTGTATGTTAAGCCTGCGTGAAGAAAATATCATGTTCGTAGGCCGGATATGCGGATAACGGCGTGGATCATACCATGCAGTGTGTTCAAAGGCGTGGTGCGATTTATGCTGGCATGTTGTGATTCACACCAGTAACGATTGTTGTCTGATTTACTTGACGTAATATTTTCTCGTATATGTGATGGTAAGTTTTATGGACAAGGGATATTATCACACTAAGTATTTTAGTTTTTTTTTTTATTTTTTGATCATTTTGGGTCATGGGTTATTAGGTTGAAAAATTTACATATAGAGTACTAGAAATATTGTTATTTACAAAAGTAGCACTCATATGATTTTTTTGAACTATTGAATTGAAGTATTTATGCATGTCGAAATCAAAACATTGAGAATTGATTAAAAAAAATGAAAAAAAAAAAATATGATTGTGGTTTTATGTTGAATTTTGATATTTGAGTGAGAGTAAAATTGGTGAAAGAGAATGTTAGATTTGTAAATAACAATATTTTTAGTGGGTGTATGGTTGAATTAAATGTTTCATTTAATTTATTAAAACTTAAATTGAAAGGCCCATTTCATTATCTTCAACTTAATAATTGCTTTAGCTCAAACTCAATAAATTAATGAACCTAAAGCTCAATTTGCGGGTGGCATGAGCTCGACTCGGCTAGTTTACACTCCTAATTAATGCCACTCAAATCTTTTATATCAATTTAAATTTATGATTAAAGGATGGAAGGCCAAAAGCTTGAAAGATGGAATCATGAGAATTAATTCAAATTTTATTTTTTTTATTGTTATTTTAATTACTATCTTGATGTTATGTCTTTTCTTTGGCATATAAATAGAAAGCTTGGATGAGGAGAAGAATAGCAAGTGAGAAGAATGAGAAATAAAAGAAGCAGAAAGAGTGGAGACTTCTGCTAACGAGATTATTATTATTTTAATTATTCGAGACTTAAATTTTGTGTTTTCAAAAATGTACAAAACGTCTTTGCATAAATTTGAGTAATTTGAAATATCAAAGATTCTTTGATGTGTGAATTTTTGGAATATCTAAAATTATAATGAAGACTTTTCTATTTGTTTTTTATATATTTTTAGACATTATAAGTTATAGAGCCTAAAAACTGGGGGTTGATACGTCATTAAAAAAAGTTATATGATTAATCATGAATCTCGATGCATTTTGGGTAAAAAAATCTTTTAGATTCAAATTCAAGTTTTTAAACTTTAACTTCAACAAAGTGACAGTCAAACTGAGCATCTCGGCAGTACATGCCCAATGACCATGAAAGTGTTTCAATCCAAATCAAAATAAATCTAGATAAAAATTTGAATGTAGTTGAAAGCTTTGGTGCATTAATTAGAATATAAAGTGATCGTTAAGTTTAGCCAACAAAAAAACAAATTGAGTGGCTTCACAAGAGGAATCCAATGAGGCCAAAATCATTTAATTCTAAGATCATTAATAAACTTAATTGTTAAAAAAAAATGTCTTATGATCAACCAAATTAATGTAGACCATCTTATGGAGTATTTTCATATTCTGACTAAAATTAAGGGAATCAATGTTGTCCGTTCGATGGATATTTTGATATTTTGAATAAATTTATTGAAATATCTCTCTCAAAATGTTATAAACAGATCTCTATTTTTCATTTGAAGGAAAAATAAGAAGAAGAAATAAGTGAGCTGATAAATAAAACATAAATCATGAAAATAAACACATGTGAATAACCATCAATAATTAGTGACCACCACCATTAATTATTGCGGTTAGTTATGACTTTTACAAGAAACTGCAACGATTGTAGTCATCAACAAAATTTTTTATAATCAACTATGATTGTTGTCACCATCAACTACAATAGTTGTGGGTCAACTACAACTTTTGTAGCCATAAACTATAATTCGTGAGTAATTGTTATTGTCCTAATTACCCGCAAATTATTTCAAAATAGTTGTGATGTCAATATAATTTTGTAATTTCATTTTCCTTAATTTAGGAGAAGAATGAATATTTATATTTTATATATTTCTAATAGATTGTTTTTACTGGGTTGTACCATTTTTTTTTCCCTTTATTGGGATTTTACACATAAAATATCAAGTACACTTTTACCTATTGGTGTGTGCTAGGAAGTTATAATGAGCTAAGGCTTAAAAGTTCTCTGTCATTTAGAATTTTTAGTGCACAATAATCACAAAAATAACAACAACAACAACAATAATAATTAATATAAAATATTAAATAATATATTTTTTTTCAATTTATGTTAATTTTTTTTGTATTTTCTACAAGCTATTTAAAGATCATTTTGTTGCTTCAAAGCAAAAGCACACCATTGAAATGTAAAAAAATATATACAACTTTTAATTTTGAAGGAAAATATAAAACTAAATGATGTACAGAGGTGTGGTTAGCCTTTGGTCAAGCTAGCCCTAACAAGGAGGGTCTAGGGAGCTAGAGAGGAGAATTGGTGCTATTGATTAAGACATTGGTCTATCGGTTGATCAATTGCAAAAGAGCAGTAGGTGCCCTCGGCTTAGTTGTTTTGGCTAACCTGGGTGACCCTGAGTCAACTCAATGGCTTGGGTTGAGAGAGCATGCCCTAATCACACCCCAACAAGGTTTAGACATGGCAATTGGGGTTAAGTAGGGATTGAGCTCAAGGTAATCCTATGAGTGTCATTTGTTTTAACTTGGGTTAAGCCTGAGTTTCAAAATGTCTCTGGTTTAGTTTAGATAGAGAAGTTGTTCGTGTTCGACTTATTTATTTAGAACAAACTATTCGACCAGCCGAACATGAGCTGCATGCGAATAAAATATCATTTTAACAGTCCTAATCGCTCTCTCTCTCACAGATTATTTATATATATATAATTTTCCGTTCAAAACTGTGGTTGGAAGATTAAAAAAAAAAAAAATTACACCCACTGACATTTTGAATTCTCGGTTTTCTGCTAACGAACAGCGAGAGGAGCCGACTCCGAAGCTACCAAACCCTAGATAGTCCTTATCGTCGGGCGAATCCCTCCACGGCGGAATCTTAGTTTAATACTAAACGTAACACACCACGCCAACACGCCGGATCCCCCATGGACTCGCGTCGTCTCCCGCGCACCGTAATTGATCCGAAGGTCCGCCAGGTAGGCTTCTTCACCGCCGGCGATCCACCACCGGCACGCTCACACTCCATCCCAGTCGACGCCACCATGACTTCCGATCTCAACTTCACCGGAAATTCCCTCTCCCCTGTCATGATCCCACCACTTCGCCACATATCGCCTCTCCGGCGCGAGGAGGTGCAGATGCCAATCGGGAGCTACAACCCGTCGGAATCGTTTTTAGGGATGTCGCCATCTAGAAGAGGGACTGATGGGTTGGATAACTCGGAGGCTGCGACCTCCTCTTTGCTTGGGATAACTGGGTCTATTCATGCTGCTGCGTCGTTCCCGCGGGGTATTGGGGAGGTGATGATGGTTGTGAGGAATGATGAGGCCAAGACGAAGGCATTGGCTGAGAAAACGCTTCCTGGGGTAACTGGTAAGAATGAGCATGCTTGTTTTGATTGGTGTAGCTCATAGGTCCGTCTTCAAGAACGTATATGCATGAGAGAATTCGGAAATTGTGATTATGGCAGGGAAATTTTGGATTTTCATTGTTTATGGCTGTAATTCCTTAAATTGTTTTTCTAGAATGCGGTGAGAGGGACCTATGCATTGCTGGCGGGAATGGTTGGGAATGTAGGTCGGGCTTGTGATTCGCCAATTGTTTTTTTTTAAATCTTTGGAGTAGGTATAAACTAATTTAATTGGGATAGGTCCATCCCTTGTTGGGATCGGGCTCAATTTTGGAGGTTCAAGCAGACTCCTTAGCTGGATTTTCTTTCTATGAAAGCGAAAATGTGATGCAAATCCAACTAATTGCTGCAATCAAGCTAGAATGAAAATTTAGAGAGAATTTTGAGAAATTAAGTGAACCAAAGCAAAGAATTAAGATTTTCTTAATAACTTGGTAATTAAACCATTGAATTCTTTTTTTTTAATTATAATTTAGATTGATATGTTTAAATGAGATGACTTGTGAACCGAGAGGATTGGCTCAAGCACTTGCTTAGCTAATTGGCTTGTTTGGTTCAGTTTGATAGCCAGTTATCTGCTGAGCTTGAGCAAGCTTAGTAGTTGGCTTCACTTAGTTACACCTTTATTCTAAAATGTATACTTAAAAGTAATGAGAGGTATGTAGCAATTTAGTGTAAATATATGGGCATTGTAGGATTCATGTGCAGATGAAGAATCTTCCAGTGAATATAGTTGATCCCAGCTCTCTAATCAAAGGAACTACCTGCAGAGGAAGATGGAACTCTTACTGATATGAAAAATGAAGGGGCTGGAACTGGAAGACCTCATAAACAGAAGACCACTAGAGCTGAACGACGAGCCATTCAGGAAGCGCAACGAACCTCAAAGGCTGCAGCAGTGGTGGTTGGTAATGTTTTTGTTAACCATTTTTTGAGTAGGCCCTTAGATTTTTCTCAAATGACTGCCGACATTACACTGTCTCTAATTGGTCCAATGTTTTAGCACAGCATACATCTGCTGTGGCTTCCTTGCTTGTGAGAAATGATATCTAGCTTGGTAACTTTTGCTAATTTCTTATCTTCCATGCAATGCTTAGCTATTAATTTTATAATTTTGTTTATGTTATTTTATGCAAGTTCAAATTTTTCTTTGGCATGATTTGAGTTCTCATACTGCCTTCAAATTTTACTACTGCTCATGTTATAATAGATACCTTGCATTACTAGTTGAGAATAGAGAATTTGCTAGACTTTCAGGTCATTTTCTCCGTAAATGTGTAAGGTTAGTTAATGTCCCAGCAATAAATTGGTTGCTTCTCTTTTATTTGATTGTATTTTATTGCGTTGCTGATATTAACTCTAGCTGTAGGTTTTTGATTTAGGTAGGATGGAGTTTTTGGACTTTTTTTTGTTTAAAGATTAGCGTACATGCCTCTCAATTCTTATGTATTTACATTTCAACACCTAAACTTCAATTTTTACATGTATGCCACATTACCTTTGCATGAAATGGTGTATTTTACTTTTTAAAAGTTAGAATAGTGGTATTTTGATGTGATTTGAAAGATTTGACTTATATTAATTTAAAATATAAAATTAGGTGTTTGATATGTCGATACATAAGAATTGGGTGGTATGTATGTAAATGCCTCATTTTTTTGTTTTACTGTTCATCGTAGAATTAGATGAAGAAACTTAAAAGACACAAATAAAATTATTTTTATGAGTAAAATTCAAGATTTCAAAATTTGGGATATTCATGAAGAAGTAAATGTTATGTGGGATAAAGTAACAAACAATATTAAACAAGTAGCAAAAGATGTGCTTGGAGAATCAAAAGAAAAAGTTTTTATAAATAAAAATAGTTGATGGTGGAATAATAATGTGCAAGAAAAGATAAAATATAAGAAGTTATGTTATAACATTGGTTTAAATGTAAAAGTTTAGGGAACTGATAAAAATATCAAACGGTTCGCAGGGAGTTTAAAAGAATAATCTGTGACGCTAAAAATTATGTTTTTAATAATCTTTATAATAGATTAGATACGAAGGAGGGTGAAAAATGTATGTATAAACTAGCCAAACACAGAGAAAAGAAAAGCAAAGATTTAACTCAAGTAAAGTGTATTAAAGATGAAAATCAAAAAGTACTTTTCTTAGAAAAAGATATTCAACATAGGTGGGTGTGTTACTTTGATAAACTTTTTAATGAATTTTCTGAAAATACGATCGACATTAGTGATCTTAATATCGTGAATAATAATAAAACATTTCATTTTTACCATCACATTAGTAAAAAATAAATTACAGAGGCTTTAAAGAAAACTAATGGTGAAAAGTTTGTAGGATCTGATGATATCCCAATTGAAGTGTGGAAATATTGAAGAAATTTGTGAGTTTCTTGGCTAACTAAGCTCCTTAATATTATTTTAAAAACTAAAATGATGCCTGGGGAGTGGAGGAAGAGTATTTTGGTCCCCATTTTCAACAATAAAGGGGATGCACAAGAGTGTGCAAATTATGGAGGAATTAAGTTGATGTGTCATACTTTAAAGTTATGGGAGAGAGTAATTGAACATAGGTTAAGATGCATCACAAAGGTTTCTCAGAATCAATTTGGATTTATGCCGGGCAGGTCTACTATGGAAGCTATACATTTATTGAGAGGTTTGATGGAGAAGTTCAAGGATAATAAGGAGAATCTACATTTGATTTCTATTGATTTAGAAAAAGCTTACGATAAGGTTCCAAGAGATATCCTTTGGAGAGTTCTTGAGAAGAAAGGTGTTGCTATGGCTTATATTCAAGTCATTAAAGATATGTATACTAGAGCTGTTACTTGTGTTCAAACTGAAGGAGGATTGACCAAATATTTTCAGTTAAGCCCATATTATTTTGCTTTAGTTATGGATTACATCAGGGATCGGCTTTAAGCCCATATTATTTTGCTTTAGTTATGGATGTTCTTACCGGACATATACAGGAAGATGTACCTTGGTGTATGCTTTTTGCTGATGATATCTTTCTCGTGGATAAAATGAGAGAAAAAGCCCAGGAAAAATTTGAATTATGGAGGTCTACATTGGAGTCTAAAGGCCTTCATTTAAGTAGAACTAAAACTGAATACATGGAATGTAATTTTAGTAGTAATAGCTCTAATGACAGAAGTGTGACTTTGAGTGATCAAATTATTAAAAGGTGTGAACGATTTAGATATCTTGGGTTCGTTGTTCAAAGCGATGGTGATATAGATGGGTATGTTAATAGTAAAATTCAAGTTGGTTGGTTTAAGTGGAGGAATGCTTCGGGCCTTTTGTGTGATAGAAAAGTACCGCTTAGACTGAAAGGAAAATTTAATAAGACGGTGATGAGACCTACAATGTTATATGGCGTTGAATGTTAGCCTTTAAAAGAGAAGCATAATAATAAGTTGAGTGTTGCCGATATGAGAATGATTAGGTGGATGAGTGTCTTTACACTTAGAGACAAAATGCGAAATGAATATATCCATGATAGGGTTGTAGCTCCTGTGGCAGACAAAATTAGAGAAAGTCGTCTTAGATGGTTTGGTCATATTAAACGTCGACCATCTGATGATCCGATTAGGAGAGTAGATGTTTTAGATTCGACTTGTGTTAAGAAAGGAAGAGGTAGACCTAGGAAGACTTGGGCTTATTGTATTAAAAATGATATTAATTTACTAGAACTAAATGAAAATATGACACTAAATAGGACGCAATGGAGAAAAAGGATCCATGTAGCTGACCCCACATAGTGGGATTAAGGCTTTGTTGTTGTTGTTGTGACTATTTAGTGTGTAGGGATTTAAGGGGCTAAATTTGACACCATATTGCAACCCCCCATTTATATACTGCCAAAACTAAACAATGCTATGACATCTTTAAAGAACTTTTTTAAGAACTAAATAAGGCACATCAAAGTATCAAACCCTGTACAGTTGGTAACTTGAATTTTCTATGCATCTTGTATTTTTTTACCATAAATTATTTAATTTTGCATGGTAGGGGTCAAAATAGGCCTCGTTGTAAACATTTCACCCGACCACAAATGGAGCGGGCCATGCAGTTTAAATTTTGCTTATATCCTAATGGTAAAAAAAGGCCCCGTTGGAAACATTTTCAAACATTTATTCACATGTTTGTGCTGTTGCATTCAAGTAATAAGCTTGATATGAAGTTTATAACTTTTATATGATTTTCTTCCATGTCACAATCATCGTAACCAATGTTTTCTACATTGTCCATGTTCTTAGGCGTTGTTTGTAATGTGTTTCGCTTCAAAAACATATATTCACCACTAGTTTAAATTGCGTAAGAAACATAAAATGAAAACTACTTAACTAGCTTGTGTGCCGCCTATGCTTCATGTTCATGGATAAATACACTTGAGGTGCAATTCATCCTTCTCTGTTTGTGTAATGGCTCCATTATTTATTACAACACATTTTTTTTTAAACCTATGAAGCCTTTAGCTTGTGAATTTGAGTTTGGAGAAGCTATAAATAACGACCTTAAAGGACTAATAATCTGGATTAAACATTTTTTTTCATCCATTCCCACTTGTAGAACATCAGTGACATAATTTCCAATATGTATATCACTTTTTTCTGGTGAATAACAATTTAAGGACTTTATTTCATCCCTAAAAAGTTTTTCATCGTCACTATATTTGACTCTATTAAGAAAAGAAAGTTGTCATTTCATGCATATGAGAGTTTTCGAACATTAAACGAATGTGAATCTTGCAACTCACATTCTTTAATTTCAGAATATTCATATGCTTATATTTCTTTATAGTTTGCTGCTGTTGATTTTCATTTTATCTCACTTAAGCGGTATATTCCCCCATCATGGTGATTATAGGTAAAGGAGGCACGCTTACAGCTTCAACTGGAGGTGCAGCTTCTGCTATCTCAAACCAAGAGAAGGTTCAGAAACAATCTCAGAAGAAGGATGGGCCTCAGGATATAAGTGCAGCTCCTGAAAAGAGGGTTGGCCGCAATCTTGATAAAGACAGAAAAAAAGATATTCCTCAGCCTCTAATGCAATTTGATGACAAGAATCGAGTTGAAAAGGCTAAAAAACGCGCAATTGTTACTCAGTTTGAAGCTCGAAATAGGGTTGAGTTGTTCCGGCACTTGCCACAGTATGAGCATGGGCCCCAGCTTCCATATCTTGAATCCAAATTTTTTGGCTTTGACAATATTCATCCTTCAGTATATAAGGTATTGCATAATTCTTCCTTGCTTTCCCAACTAATACTGCTAAGCACTACTTTTTGATTTTTCTATTTGCATATCTGGAAGTTTTTTATTGTGGATGAAATTGTGTGCGGGACTTCTAAATGGTTTCGATTGTTTTTACTGAGATTGTTTATAGAAAGATGTGATTGGCCCTTTATCATGATATATTTTTCTTTTGGGGAAATTTGCATATGTAGCAAACACTTATTATGTATTTACATACCTGACACCAAAACTTTCATATTGACATATATAGCATTTTGGTACTTTAAAGCCTGCATGAAAATGTGTATTTCACTTTTAAAAAGTAGTAATAGTGTTATTTTTGATGCGATGTTAAATTTTTAAGTGCAATGTGTGTGCATATTGAAGTTTAGGTGTGAGATATGTAAATATGTAAGAATTTTGTGCTATGTATGTTATGCCCCTTTTCTTTATGTTGCCAATGATTTGCTTTTTGTCCCCTCTTGACAGACTTTCCTGAGATAGAAAAACTAGTTTTCTGACATGGTAGATACTTTATCCTTATTAAATGAATTGCAATGCATGTAGTATCATTTCTTGTAGCTGTTTCTTGATAATGATCATTATTAGCCTAAAAAAAATAGCATTTTTGCCACCACTAATGTTAACGTTAAAAGTAGTTAAGAATTTCATGCTGTTTATTATGATAGTTAAAGGCATGTGAGGGGAGTAAATCAGATCTGGGACCAGTTTGAAGTTATTTTAAAATTATTTCAATTAAAATGTACCCAATAAGAACACATTTCAAACAATTAAATCTATGACACACAAAGACAAATGGAGGCAAATCTATACATGTTAACATGAGTAAACATGCTAAAAACGCTGTATAAATGATAGAGGCACTTACATGCATAGCACACAATTCTTATGCATTTACATATCTCACACTGAAAATATTTACGCACAGTACTCAAATCTTTAATATTACATAAAAAAATAACACTATTATCACTTTTTAAAAGTGAAATAAACATTTTCATGCATAGGTTTAAAACATTAAAGTGGCATGTATATAAATATGAAAATTTAGATGATGATGATATACACACACACACACACACTCTACCTTACAAGCTAAGGTCACTTATTTTATCAAATGTTTAGGCACACAACATGCAAGTCTTCACACAATAATCTTGGTCACAATACGTAGGCATTGTTATGAATAAGTTTATAGTAATGTAGAGCTTATTTGTGTAAGGATTATTCCACAACACTCACATATGAGAATATAACCAACCAAAATATCTGATAAACTTGAGACATGTAAACCAAGAAGGTAATAGCGAAAGTAAATGAATTTAGCTATAAATTGATGAGCGGAATTATTTTTATGTAGTTTAAAATTCAGTTGGCCTCGGAAGCCATCCATACCTAAGCACATGCTTGCTCAGGAGTTAACTAATTTCTTTCTTATATGCAGAGAAGATCTACCTTGATGGCAAGTGGCCGGTAAATTGTATTCTCCTTCACCTAGTGAGCACAATCACAATGAGCTATCCTTACGGGCTAGACTAACCCAAAACCAATTTTACATGTTAAATAACTTTCTAGAACCTTCTTGGCCCTTGGTGGCATACAAGGCTACCAAAAAGAATGAAAACATTCAGTCTCTATGAATAAGATTGCAAGGTTTGCATAAGTAAAATAAAAAGAAAATGAGCTATCCTTACCTGTTTAGCAACTTTCTAGAACCTTCTAGGCACATGGAGGCGTATAAGGCTACCAAGAAAATGAAAATTTTCAATCTCTTCGAATAAGATTGCAAGATTTGCAAAATTAAAATAAAAAATTAATTATTTAGTGAGAAGGAAATTAAGGAGATTTGCTTGGATTAACTTTTTTTTTTTTCAAAATACTTCACAAATGTGATCCTACATTTGTGTTTCTTGCTTTAGCGTCTCATGTTAGTTTCTACTTCATTTTAGCTCTTATTATTGCTTAAATAAATCTCAAAAGGTCATCCTCAAATCCTCTCCATGTTCCCTAAAATTCCTTAAATTGTTGATGATTGATTTATATATAATACAAAACAAATGTTTTAATAAATGTTGCACTAATAAAGAATGTATTTTCAGGATCATAAATAATTGAGGAGTTGCTTTTATGCTAATGTGTAATAATCCTTTAGTCATTTAATTGACAAAATATGAAATTTATTGGAAATTTGATCTAAATAAACTGCCAAAGTTTATTTATTAATATATATAAATATCAAATAAAATCCCATCATGTTTTACTTCTTTTCATCATATGCAAACATTTTGATAATTCAAATTCAATCAAATATTTAGACCAATAACCTAAATTCTCAAATTAAGCTGAGCTTGAAACAATATTTGCATCATTGATTCTTCACGAATTGTTCTTTTGAATCACTTCTTGTGCTTGCAAACTCTTCGAGATATTTTACTCAGAAATTATCAATTTCATTGTTTGACTAATTATATGAAAAATATGAAGATTACTTAGTAAACTATCTGATGACAACACGTATGGTTTGTGATGCAACACAATAACCCATTATTAAACATTAACAAAACGAGTAACTTTAGGAAAATCAAGTAATCCATGATGATGGAGTCATTTTTTTCGTCCTTTATCTGCATGGTTAGCCTCGTTACAAGGTAAGAACAATAAGAACAAGATTGGTCAAGAAGGCTTCTAGTAAATTCTATATGTGTTTGGCCAGCTTCTCTCCTTATTGGAATTCAACATGAATTTAATGAAGTGCTTCTCCCCTACTTTAAATTGCTTTGGCTGACCTCGTTTCATTATAAACTAACGTATACTTTATTTTAATTGCTGCTTTCTTTCCTAATTAACTTGGTTGGCCACCCTTTTGAATTTAAATCAAATATTTTAATGTGGAGTGGTTCCAAACCTTCAATAAATATATGTTTTTAAGGGGATTTACATGCACAAGTCATCAAAATTTACATATCTAACACCCCAAACATACTATTTACATACTTAACACATTAAACTTGTATATGCATTAAAACTATTACTTTTTGTCACTCACCTTAGCATCTATTAGCTTGTTTCATTGTCGGATACATTTGGCCACCACTCTGCCAAACCGCGGTGGAATAGCAAACACTTGCATGTTTTGAACGGTTCCCACTTCTTGTAGAGCTTAAGCTTTGTTTGCCGGTGAGGCTGTATGTTACATCTTTTTCCTAGATCCCCTTACACGAAACTTATTCGAGCCAAAACCGTTTCGACAATCTCTAATCCAATTTCTCCTCCATCAATTCGTCAATGAAACTGATCTTCGCCTGAATACTTGGTAATTATTATCGTTCTTGTTTGTTTGTTCTGCTTTCAATCCTATTCCTTTTGATATTCAGAGTTTTTTTTTTTAACTCTTATGGCATATAGATTTGAATTCTGGTTTCTTATAAGACTACTCCCACTTATATGGAAGATAGCTTCGGTCTCCAAGACTGGGAGGTGGTCCATGGCTCCCTTCGTGATTCTCAATAAGCACACTATGAATGTTGGCAACAAACGAAGGCCCGCCACTCCACCAAACTGAATCGAAATTGTCCTTGTCGATTCTCCTATTATTGGCTCTACCTCGAGTTGCTGCTTTTCGGAGATGGGCAAATCAAAGAGAGATGAAAGTGGAGGAGATGGACCCTCATATTTTAGTGGTAAAAAGGAAAGAAAAGTCGTATTTTGCTGAGATCTCGCGGAGGAGAAAATTCAAGAATAGGTCTGATCTTGCAGAGCTGAAGCTTTGTCGGCCAACGACACTGCGGGTAATTAAATTTATGAGGACACAAAGAACAACGACAGTGAATGGAGTTGACTGGCTGTAAATTGAGTGACAAAATATAGCAATTTTGATTTATTTATGATTTTAGGGTGTTGGGTATGTACAAAAAATGTTAAAGGTATGTATGTAAATCTCTCATTTTTTGATGTTTTGAGTGGTATGTATGCAAATCTCTCATTTTTTTTAGCAAAATAAATTATAACTTGCCAAGATACATGATAAAATAATAACATAAAACCACTGCCAAGAAAGATAAGAAAAATATACCAGATCAAGCTAATTTCAAGAAAAATTGAAATGACAACTTAGAATAGTGTTTCATGCTAACTCAAATATCAATCAAGTCTAGAATTTCAAGATCATGAAGGGACTTTTATGTCTCCCTTGGAATCCAATAAAATTGGTGGGATGAGTTTTTCTTTTTTTTTAATAGTTTCACATGAGAAAATACTAGTTAAAATGTTTTGACCACTAAATCTACAAAATATTTAATGGAATTTTGAGATTGAATCTAGAATCGTCAAAACATTCCAATTTAGAACAACTTCATTAAGATTTGATGAAGCTACAGTATTGGGAGATGAAATAATAAATAATAGTAGGATCTTCAATAAGTTGGCAGAAGTTATATTGAAACATGAATCTTAGTAAATCAATGGACTCAACTTTCAAAACTAGAGGAATGTAGGGGATATTATCAGCTAACAGAATAAAAAATGAGAGGAGGCAATAACTCGAATGATGGCTTTTGAGTAATATTAGCACTGAGTAAGCTAGAAGACTCCAATTAATCATGAGTAATTATTGTTCAATGATTTTATTAGTCAATAAAGTGATAAAAATTGTCCAAGTAGTTGGAACCTTTCAATAAAAATTCTTTAATTTCGGGCGAGTGTTGAGGCAATCAATAAATTCATTACTGAAAAAAATTGCATGATTTGCAATTTGAGGGAAAACTTCAAATTTAAATTTGTACCAATGGCCATGTGAAGAATTATCAATCCATATCTTTCTAATCAATTGGACAAGAATTGCCATTTCATCAATGAGAACATGGACCTTAAATGGTTTGGTAAAGTCTACATTTAGCAGCATCCGCATGTAATGGTTTATCAAAGGCTGAACTCAAAGAGTATAACATGGATTTGTTGATTTAATAGACCTTGAAATA